AAATAAATCCTGCTTTTCTTTATATATATATTTTTTATTTTCTTTAGATTCAATTTAGTTTTTTTTTTTTTTTTAAATCCTAAACAATGTCGGATTCCAAAAAAAAAAAAATGGGGTTGTAGGGCTTAAAATTCCCTACAACCCCAATTTTTGTTTTTTTACCTATTATTTAATTCAGGAAAATTCTGGTAAAATTGGGTCCGCGGCTCGGACCACGACGGCCGCGGACGCGAGTTTAGCTTACAAGCCAAGCTCGACCGTCCAAAACCCATTACTCAGAATGACCAAATACTACCTGCTGAAAACAGGGTTCAGCATCCCATCAAGAAGCTCTCCAAAAAATAAAACCTTAAAGCCCAAAGCAAAAGGTGAGCCATCAGAACCCCTTGGCTCAAAATCTCCCAGTAGTCCGTGGAGACCCTGCAAAGCCATTTCAAACCATTTCCCACCACTGAGCTTTTCTGGGTTTAGAGACTGCAAGTCCCAGCAAATTGCTTACATGGCTCTGAATTCCCGGAGGAAGAAAGACAGGGCTTGACAGGTTGGAACATACACCTCAAATGTTTCGCAGGTCTAACGCGGCCTGCTTAAAAATCAATAGTAGGTCTAACAACGGGGCAAAACCAACCCCGGTCTGTTCTTCCCTCTCCTTGTCTCGTTTGACTGCTAGGTAGGCCTTTCTGGTCAAGTTTAGCTCGATTCTGGGTAGTATATAGTATTGCTGTTTTATTGTCCTCAACGCCTTGCGCTCACCCCTGACGAAGCCAGTACTGGCGAACCGGCTGAAACACGTGTAGGGTACTTCGCCAGTTGAACTTCATGACTATGGTGGCTTCAATGCTGCCTTTGGCTGCTACGTTGCTGCCTTCTTCATCTGCTGTACTTTGATTGGCTCTTCACGATTATTTTGAGAGCCTGTTGCGCTCGGGGGTTTTGTTCTTATTCTTGTCTCAGTCTATTCTCTCCTCCTACTTCTTCATCCCTGATGCATTTGTCCTCACTTGGCTAGTCCAGGTGTATGCTATTATCGCACTTTCAAATCAACCCCGGCCATACTCCCTTATCCCTGTAGCAACCAACTAGCATACTGCATTTTTCTTTCAGAAGACACTGATGCAAAGGACGAACCTTTAGCCCATGTCTTGGCAAACCAAGGCTGACCTTTCGTTTTCCGATCGGCTCTTATCACCAGCCTAACGGCAGCTCTTATCTGGTTGATTGAATGCTGCACCGTTATCGATTCCGATCAGAAGACTTCGGCATTTCTGGCTGACCAGATAGCCTCAAAGATGATCCCTCTGCAGATTACAGCCATATGGCCTACACCGCACCTGAAATCACCAGTCCCTGACCATTTAGCATGTAAGATGAAGTCCTCTCCCCAATCCCCAGAACAACCTATACTGCCTTAAAGTTTCCACTTCTGCTTCCACCATTCCCAAATTTCCCTGGAGAGAGGGCAGAATAACCACAAGTGAGACGCACTTTCCCATCCCCATCCGCACCTGGTACAGACAGTGGAAATCTCCATCCCTTTTGTATTCAGCCATGTTGCTGAGGTCGTGATTTGCAGAGACTGTAGCCGCTGTAACGCTGCCTGTTCTTGAAAGGGAATCTATTTTAAGGCCTTCCATAATTTAAAAATATCAGAGCTTTGGACCCCCCCATTCTGACATTGAGCTAATCTTCTCTCTGCCATGATAATTGGCTTTTAACAACCTTCTGTTTTTGAAGCAGAACACCTATCTTAGGTTTATAGTTAAACCACCAGACTGAGTACTTGGGCGATGCCTTAGCGTTAACGCTACGCGATTTCCGCGGCCAGCGGGCCGTCGATAAATCGAATCGACAGCCCGCGCTGCTTCGAGATTTGGGCGGCCGGCGCGGCGCGCAGTGCCCAAGTACTGGTGGTTTAATAATAGGGAAAATATGGGAGGGAGAACTATCTGTCTTCCACCCGTACGCCACTGGTTGTACGGTTCTACCGACGTTCCTGCCTTCTTTAGAGAAATCAGGGAGCACCCTGGTCTCCTGGTTCCCTGATTCTCCCACACCCTGGCCTCTTCCAGACCCCGGGTGGAGTCCATAGTTGCATCCTCCTCATACCGCAGATCAGAACCCCGTACTCCCCCCCTCAGTCTCCATTTAGTCACTTTTGTCCCTGTTGTAAGGTCTGGACCTACTATTTTAAAAAACATGTCATGCTGTTCTGGGTCTTTTAGCCAGGAGCCCGGGTTAAACTCAGATTCCTTTTTCACCGCATTAATCCAGTGACGAGGAATCGAATCCTTCAATATTTGGTCGTTCCGTTCTACTTTATGAATTCTTGGCAATGCAGATCTGAGTCTTGACCCAGGGATCCAGTCATCAGCCTGAGAATCCCAGATGTCCTTCAGCTGGAGGATTCCATGCTCCACCCAAATTCTATGAATCCCCCTTGGCGCCGGCCAAATTCTCCCAAAGGATCCTGTACTACCGTCTGCAAGGAGCTCAGAGCCCTGGTACTTGATATACTATGCATTTTCCCACAGGATCTGATTTAGGATTTCACCTTTTGACGTAGGCTCCCCCAGCTGCACCTGAGAAAGATCTTTTCAGAAAACAATCCATAATCTTCTCCAACTCTTCTGTCTTTTGGTGTCTAACAGCTCTCGACCAAAATCACACTTGAGCAAATGACATCGAGTTTTCAGCCCGGTTTCAACCAGCAGAGGCCAAGTAACGGCTGCTATCGTTTCCTAACGGTTTTTGTGTGTTTGGTGTCTAAAGGTCGCAAACGGCTGCTAATGGTTCTTCTGTGTTTCTTGTCTGGCTACTCTGGTCTGAGCAGAAAGCGGCCATGGACTGACGAGAGCCAATCAAGGGACGGAGAACTCTGAAGGAGAGGAGTGAGGGCCTCGCCACACCACTGTCGAAAAGTGAAAATGACAAAAATGTGGCGGGTGCATCTGGTCATGTTCTAGCGACAAATTCATTCTCATTTTGCGCCTTTAGAGAGTGGTGTGGCGAGTCCCTGAGGGGGGCAGAACTCAGAAGCTTAGGCAGCAGCATGAAGGTTGGTAAGGGCTTCTTCTTCTTCTTTTTTTTTTTTTTTTTGGTAAGGGCTTCTTGGAACGGTTGGAAAAACAAACAGCAAAAAAAAAAAAAAAAAAAACAGCTTGTGAGCTATGAGGGGATTTGAAGAAGAGAGGGGAAGGAAAAGACCGAATTGGTGGGCCGAAGGCTGTATGTTGGCACAACAGCGACCGGTTTCATTCTTTCTCTCTTCGCCTAACGACTTCTTTAACGGTTGCTAACGGTTGGTAACGGCTTCTAGTAACGGTTGGAAAAACAAACAGCTTGTGAGGGAAGAGGATATGAAGAAGAGAGGGGGAAGGAACGACCAAACTGGTCGATGAGTATCTACACCACATCACTATGTCACATTGCATAGACAAACCTCAAGCATGACAAGAAGCAGGTCAGAGAGACGACCAAATCCGGCTAGCCACAGCATCTCACGGCACCTCATAGACGAAGACAAGAGAAGGAGAAGGAAGAAGAGGTAGAAGAACACGACACGTCAAAGTCTCCCGAACGCGACATGATAGGCGATTAAGAATAGCAACAAAGTACCAACCTATCGAGCTCGATCCGAAAATTGGGCGTTGTGCCCGTAGCATGTCAACCATGGTCGAACTCATCCGGCAATGACCCTACATGTTTCATCCGGAGCCGGATCCGGAATCGTCAGGGGTCGTCGTCACGCTATCGAGTGTCTGTTGACGCAACATCTTCTCTATTTAAGACGAAAAAAGACAGACACCGGATAGAACACCGGGGACCTAGAAAGTGACGGTGTGGAAGAATGGTCAAATTCTGCTAACCAAAAATCTAAGCTAAAAATTAACATGAAAAAGGCTGACCCAGCCCCAGGGCCCAAAAGAAGGTCCAATTCGGACTGTCTAGCAGAAAAAGCACAGAAAAGCTGAAAATTTTGATTTGGCCATAGCCCAAGGTGGCATTCGGCACTTTCGATGGTTTTTTTGGAAGCGCTTTTGGAAGCATCTTCTAACTTTGTTTGCGGAGGATAATTTTCTGTCGGACGCGTGGGTGGTCGAGCTGTTTCTCAATAAGATTACAGGTACTTGTAGGGGTCGTATGATGAAGGGCCTCACTGTGAGGACCTACTTTTCGAGGTTCGACGGTAGTATGTTTTGTAAGACTGAAGACAGTACGGTAGTCGGCAATCTTCACGAGACTTCTGACTTTTCGACTACGCATAGGATATATATTGACTGTTTTCTATTTGGTCAGTACCTTCCGCGACCGAAGACCCCTGATGAGTGCTGGTGGCGGCCAGCCGAAACGTCGGGCCCATGCCGCCTGCTTTTCACGTTTTTCATACGACAAGTCGCGTTCGGGAGATATCCTTGTGTAACACTTCACTTTTTCTTTCTCCTTCTCCCTTGTCTTGGTCTATACTCCCACGCACCTCGCACCTTTTCTGAGTGGTTTCTGATTCTTTGCTTTGGACTTGTCGCTCACTATGCATATTGGCTGACGTACACTGAACACGGTTCTACACTTTGCTTCTCGAAGTAACCACCGTAGAGGTTATACTACTGGCTGTGTGGCTTCGTTTATCAATTTCGTTGATCGCTTATCAGTGACGATGGCTAACCCTGCTCCTAGTGTGCGTACGTGTTTCAACTGCGGTGATCCTAACCACTTCGCAAGATGGTGTCCACATCAGAGAGGAGTCTCTGTTTCTAATTTTGCAATTGCTTTTGTGCAAGCACCTATTCTTGCCCTACCTGCTCCCTCAGGCCCTCTACCCCCGCCCCCACCACTTCCTGTACACCCTCAACCCAGTGTCCCCCCTACAACCACGGTCGCTAACACAGCCGATACGTCGACACAGTATCAAAAGGGTAGTGGATGGTACAATACTAATCAACGGGTGGCTGCGCTGGAGGAAACCGTGGTGCAACTGAAGGCGTGGTATGATGCCGAGGTTGCCGAGGTGAAAGCAACAGGAGGAAGAAAGACTTAAACAAGAACGTGAGCTAGAGGAGCGAAGATCGCGAAAAAAGAAAGACAGAGAGGATTTTCAAAGAGAAATGAACGAGTCGTGGAATGCTAAATTTGAGTCTGTCTGTAGTGCGTTGTGTTCTGACAAGGCAGCAGGGGTCAATAATTCAGAGTTGGAGAAACTCAAGAAGCAGGTTGAGTTGCTGCAGGTGAGCAAAAGAACAACGATGGGGAATCCAGAAGCGTCTACGAGCAGGCAGACATATAACAGTGATGCGGCGCTGGCTCATCTCCTCCAAGAGCAAAAGGAAATGAGGGCCAAGTTGGAGTCAGCGGTCGGTGCGTGCAGAAGAGTAGAGACCTTGGAGAATGAGTTATGGCTGATCAAGCAGTCTCATGATGACGCAATTCAGGAAATGGAAACCTGGAAGAAAGAAGCTCTAAGGACGGACAACAAGCGGAGCCATATTGCTACTTCGCCTGCATCAACTCTCAAGATGCCGCCTGCTGCCACGCCTCGGAGATCTCCTAGCAAGGAGCAGATGGAGCAAACAGCACAGTTGCGTCAACTGCACAATCTCGAGGCGGAGACGTTAAAAGAGCTCAGACTACAGGAGCTGAACAGGAGAAGGGAAGCAGAGCAGGAGAACGCACGACTTAAAGAAGAGTTGGCGAAGCGTTCACGTGCAACGCCCAAGTCAAGTTTTTGGGAGAAGCTCGATGAGGTCGATGTTGTTGCTGGAGGGTCAGTACCAGTGCCACGAACGTCGAAAGGAAAGAAGAAACCCTGCAGTGGTAGTGAGATTGGCAGGGACAACGATCGAGAGGCGCTCGTGCGGGAGTCAAAAAAGGAGTTCCACAATCTTAAGAAAGATGACGTTATGGAGATCTGTACGAAGGAGGGCATAAAGTACACTACTCTTAGCGAGACGATCACCGAGATCATCAACAAGTGCGTAGAGCGAGCATTTGGCAAAAAGCCGGTAATACAAGAAGTTTCGGACGATGTTGCGGGAGAATCTCAGGATGATTCTCGCAATGACGGGAGGGACTCGGCTGCTTCTTAGGGTCCCTCCCGAGCGCGACTTACATTTGGTCTTTAGCATAGTCATGTCAAGTAGCAAGATCCTCTTCTTCTCGCTTCCTATGTCTGAAGACTGTGGATTCCCTTTTTCGATTGCTCGTGTTTGTCCTTATTCTTTCTGGCCTCGTTCCATGGGCCAAGAAACTCTCTCCCTTTCTTGCGGGCTGGTGGCGGGATGGTGAACTGACGAAGGGACCCTTGGTCTATGTACTTGTGTCTCCTTGGTGTCGGCACCTGTACGTAGGTAGCACACTGCGGGATTTGGAAACGCGATGGGGGGAGCACGTGTACCGGGCGAGTAATCTATCTGTTATTAGTAAGGGGAGGCGAAATGAGCAGCTGTATGGCTGGCTATGGAGATGTGGAGCCAATAAGTATGTAGCGATCCCCGTTTGTTGTTGCACCGATGAGGATCCAGAGGCTACGGAGAAGTATTTCATACGTTTTTTTTCCCCCTCTGAATACAAGGGACAAACCAAAACATGCAAGGAGAAGGAGATTGGGTAAGAGAGAACGACGACGTTTTAAACAGTTGCGTGCAGATGTTGCTGGAGCCAGAAACTATGCTTCAACTTCTCTACTTCATTTTCACTCTTCAGTCGGAGTTGTGTCCTTCAGTCTGTTTTGTATTTTGAATCACTGTAGGGATCATGCCATCTCTAGCTGTATGGTTGTATGCAAGGGAGGTTGCCTTTTGATTAACAATTGGAAAGTGTTGAAGTGATGTTATGGCTCTTATATCATCTCTTGTATGTATGAAACTGATCAGTTGCGTTGCTCTAAAGGATGGTTGTCTGATGGTGTCGTGATAAGTTTTGAGAGCGTGATTCCGTTTTGTCACAGGGCTCTGGTCTTGAAGCCATGTCTCAGTAAGTTGCTTAGTGCACCGGACACTCACTCTGTTTTGCGTTCCTGGGATTTTGGGGAGTTGGTTTATGCTTTCTCCGCTGTACGATGTTTTCAAGGGAAGCGAACGCGTAGCAGATTGAGGGTCATTCTCTCACACGTGGTGAAGGTACGATTCGGAGTGAATATTCGACAACGGTTGGTAGTCCGAGTCATTTACGATCATCGCTATTTCAAGACAGGTATTCAGAAGCTCTGTACTGAGTTAATCAATGAACTCGATATTCACCCCGCTTGGAAGAGTATGATCGTCAGACGAATGAGCGTAGTCTGGTGTAGAAACAAGACGGTGGGTGACATTATTCATAACTTTCGTGAGATAGCAAGATCGGGGGACTTTTCTTGTAAGTGTCAGGAAGCAGATCAATCCTTTCCTCGTGACAATAATCATGTCTCCTTTCGGCTTGGTGTGTTTGATGGCTTTCCCTCCTGTATGAAGAACTCTCGTAACGTCCTACGACCTTCTGCTGTCTTTCCAACTTCTTCTCTTAAACGCCAAATTCTGAAATATTTTCATTCTGTGAGATCTCTCCCAAAGCTGCTACCCCAATCTATCTGTCGATCTAAGCTGTCCTCTTGTCTTCTGCAATGTGTGGATAATCTTGGAGGAGGGAACACCTCTTGCTCAGTGGACGATGTGAGCCCTTGTGAAGTAAGGCTGCGGGGTTTGGTGTGTACTCCCCTGGACCATAACCCAGGGGATACTTTTGTTTGTTGTCCAGCGATCTATGGAGAAGGTATGAGGAAGATGTTCTTGGACAATCCGTCCTTTGTTGCGCCAACACTTTCGGAATACAATCTGTTTGAACGTTGTAAAAGTCTGTTTAAAAGTTGAGGGTTTGACAGGATTGGCTCGTGGAAAAAGGATGGGAGCTTCGGTCGGGCCTACTGTTTACCAAAGCATAAGGACATTTCTAGATGGAGACCTATATGCCCCTCACACTCAGAAGGATCCGTGGTTGCTGCTAGGAGGGTGACATCGTCCATTAACCACTTGCTCTGGTCTATGCCGGAGGATCTCCACTTCAATTTGAAGCGAACCCAAGATCTGATGGAGAGGATCTCTGGAATCAATAGGGCTTTGAAGAAGGATACTCTGTTGACCGGAGGTTCGTTCGACATTAAAGATATGTTCTCCAACCTTCCACATCGGTCCATTCTTCACTCACTGTGCTGGGTTCTTGATTATTGGAAGGGAGAAGGGTGGACTAGTGTTATGATTCGGCAGCGTGGGAAGATGGTGAGGTTAACGAAAGGGAGGCGTGAGGATGGCTGGATTCGGTTGGACTTTGCAGATCTTTTGAACTTTGTGAAATTTGACCTGGACAATACGTTTGTCTCGGCTGCTGGTAAGATGATCCGCCAGACGATGGGGATTCCGATGGGCAAGGTAATGAGCCCGGCACTGGCCTGCTTGTTGTGTGCCCTTAACGAATTTGTTTTTTTGTCCTAACTTGGCAGAGACAGGAAGCTGATACACGGTTGCAGAACTGTGGATGATGTGTCAATCTTTGTAGAATATGCTAAGTATGATGCGGAGTCTTTGACGAATGCGGTTAGTGTTGTTGAGTGATTTGGTGTTTGTTACGACCATAACTTGGTACTTCAACAAACCAATTCTGGTCTGAGGTGGGACTTTATCGGTTGTGAGATACAGATTCTGGGAGATCCGTGCCAAATCATCTGTCAGGCCACTCATAAAAATCAGAAGAACGTCATCAATCAACAATTAGTTTTTCAGTGCATACAAGATTTTGCATCTTACTCTACTCGTCGACGGAAGCTTGCGGTCATCGGGTCGTTCTTCCATCGAGCCCGAACTTTCACAACAATCCCCGGAACTGAATTTTATTTCCTTCTCACTTTTAAGAACGAGCTCTGGTTGCGGGGCTGGAGGAAAGGTGGGGGGGACGCAAGGTTAAAGGAGGATAAGAAAAAGAAAACTACTCTTGCCTATAGAACACCTATTTCTTCTGAAAACTACTACTATAACCTATGATTCTTCATAGGCCTAAGATTCGGCCTGAGCCCGCCCAAAACGGCGGTTGGAGCCTTTATGACAAGCTGGCTCCCAACCATGAGAGACACTCTCCACCCTCCTCCCCTCAGCCAACCTGCTGGTGGCCTATTGTGGCCTGAACAACCGAGTGCCCTAGTTAAGGAGAGACGGAGAAGAAGCAGGAGGAAAGGGACGAGAAGGAGGAGAGAGCAGCAAGAGGAAAGGACAGAGAAGGAGGGAAGAGATCGAGAGCAAGGACGCAAAACCGGAGGAGCTCCAATATTGACTGAGACTGGTAGAGGGGAAGACTGAAGGCTGAGACCAAAGACTTGAGGCCCAGCCATGGAGAATTGGCCGAGTACTCTGTCCGCGACGTCCTAGGCTTGCAGCTGGCTACACGTGGAGGCACCGCGGGGTCCTAGTCATAGAGCCAGAGAGTGATGGCCAGCTTGCCGCTGAGTGTGATGGCCGCAAGCTGGTTGTCTCAGGCCCATGTAACTAGGAACACCTGTCTTCCTCTGGGTGCACGACCTCTAGCTGCCTTTCATACCCATTCGACTCTAATTAGAGTCCGTATCCATGTCTTTATCCTCCTGATGAGCATCGTATCACTGGTCCACTGTTCTTGAAGATAATATTGTTCCTGTCCTCCCAGAGGACCCAGATGATGACTGCTCGAATGACTTGTGCTACGTAACTGCCCTTGTGTTTGAACCAGGACGACGGTATGTTCCCATACATTACCCAAGTCTCGTCCCAGTTCAACAACGTCCCAACAAAGCGATGCCAATGTCGCTCCCACCATTGCCACACTCGCTTCGAGGCTGGGCATTCCCAAAACAGGTGTAACAGGGTCTCCTCATGGATCCTTCCGCATCTCCTGCATTTTGTTTCCAATTCCAAGCCTCTTTCATAAAGCCATTCTGCACATGGAATGGCCAAGTGGGACAAAAGCTAGAGTACGCCCGCCATCTTCTGCGAGGGGAGATCAGGGAGATGGTCCCATAGTTTACGGAGCTCTTGACTGGTCACGGATTGACTGCTTGTAGTGTGCCTGCTGAGTGCTGCTGCTGCCGCTGTTGGAAGGCGTTCGCTTTAAGAAGTTGCCTTCTGTCAAAGGAGGAGGTGTATTGGTGCATATAGATTATGGTGCCAGACTGCGTTCTCCATGACCAGGCGAAGGGGTCGAGGCGTTGTTGCTTAAGGGGGACGCCCTTGAGGAGGAGGTGACTGTGAGTCACCCCTCTCTTCGTGTATTGGTGCACTCGTATCTGCTGGAGCTCTTGTACATCATGTAAGGCGACCTCCCCTTGAAGCTGCAGCTCATTATTGTGGCCAAGATCTGGTCGTGATGTCCATGCCTGAGCCTGCCACATGTTATCGTCAAGTTGATGCATTATGTGAAACGCTGTGATCTGGCCCGCTTGCTGGTTACTGCTATACCATTTCCCTGTGGTCAACTTCTTGTCTTTTAGTAGCTGCAGCCACCCTGCCGGTACCGCTGCCTGGATCCGCAGGCTTCTATCATGGATACATTGTAATCTTCCGAGCTACGTTTTGAGTTGTTGCTCTGTTTTCCAGTCCTCTTCCTCTTCGTTCCAGAGGTCATCCAACGTGACCACTCCCCGCTCCACCCATCTTCGTCTGAAGTTGCCTGCCGTTGCTGAAGCTGCAAAGGTTCTGTCCTGCGGATCCCGGATCTGTTGATTGTCAATAATATTCTGTCTCAGCACCTCCTCCTTAGTTGCAGGTTCTTCTTGCTCTTGTGGGAGGATAGCTCGCCATGCCGATCAGCATGCATTACCTATTGGAGAATGAAGTTGCCGACGCCCATAGGAGTTCATAAATAGGCAGGACCAGATGTCTTCCTTTCTGCTGAGTCCCAACTCTTGTTGTAGCAGGTATTCCAGCACCTTCTGCCATCCTCTGCGTTCCTCCTGGGTTGCCGCCTTCATTAGCCATTTCATTAAGAGTGTCAGGTTCTGCTGTCTTGGGTCAATGATAGCCAGTCCCCCTTCTTGCTTGCTGCTAGTCACCTTGACCCAAAAGCACTTCGTGATGTATCCTTATCCCTCTTCAGCGATCGGCTTCCAGAGATAGCGTGCTGCATCTGCTGTCAGGAGCTTGAGAACCTCTTTGGATAGGAGACAGACCGCGGCTATGAACCAAAAACGACAGCATTAATGAGTAGTGCCCGCCCCGGCAGTGAAGTGTCCGCTGCCATTCGACAACGCTGTAGACTGGCTTGGACTCTGGCTTGCAAGATAGCTTGCTGTTTTGGTTTGGCGTTCGCCAGCGATAATTGCACTCCCAAATAACGTTCTGAGATATCCGGGGGGATGCGCTTCATCCCCCAGTCTTGACCGGCCAGACTATATTCCGCCGGGAGAAAATAGACGGACTTTCTCCAATTGACCCGAGCTTCTGAGACAGTGCAGTATGCATCAAGAAGTGCCTTGGCTTCTCCCATGGACTCTGTCGTTGCTTCCATGACCAACAAAAGGTCGTCCGCTATCGTGCCCGTTCGAAGAGTGTCGGATTCCCCTAATGTAAGGCCTTGAATGCGTGGGGAGGCTCGAAAGGCATTGAGGAGAATTTCCATCTGAACAGCGAATAGCAGCGAGGCCAGCGGGCAGCCCTGGCGCAGCGAGCGCGTCAATGAAAAGGTGGGTGACAGAAAGCCATTTACACTGACTTTTGTTGTTGATCCGCTGTAGAGCTCTTTGACCCAAGTGCAAAAGCGTGGTCCAAAGCCCATATGCTGCAGCGTGGCCAGGACAAATGACCAGTTGACACGGTCATAGGCCTTCTCGAGATCCAACATTGTCGCAATGACTTGTCTGTTCTCCTTTTGTATCACCTCCAGTGCTCCAGCTGCCATTAAAATATTCTCAGCGATTGACCTCCCTTGGATGAAAGCCCCCTGGTCGCTGTGTATGGGGGGCTAGCCTTCAAGAGAGAGCTTTTGCCAGAATTTTGTAGGACACATTAAGCCTAGAGATCGGTCTCCAGTTTCGAATGTTAGACTTCTCATCCTTTTTGTAGATGAGCGTAATAATGCCGAACTTCATATCTTCGGTTAGGATGGAGCCCTTTGGGGCTTGGTTATAAAGCCTTAGGAGATCTGGGCCAATGTGCTCCCATGCCATGTTGTAGAACTCGATTGGCAGCCCATCAGAGCCCGGGCTTTTCCCTCTAGCCATGTGCTTGATGGCTTGCTGGAGCTCTTCTGCTGTAAAAGGTTGCTCAAGTGCAGTTGCTGCCTCCTGACTCAGACGAGTGTGCGTGTGCTGCCAGAGATCCTGTTCTTCTCGTAGTTTTTCCAAAGACATATCTGGTTCGTGCTGCGAGGTAAGGATGTCCCTGAAGTACTCTAAAGCATACTCTCCGATTGTTTCCGAGTCTTTTGCAGGTGGTGCCTCGGCATGAAAAGGGTGCTGCAACTCCCTCATTAGCGAATGCTGCCGCTGAGGGCAAAGGCGCTGAAAGGTTTCCTTGGTTAGCCGGTCCGCTGTCCGTATGCCTCTTTCCTGGGCTCTTTTGGCCCAAACCACTTGCTGCTCCACTTGCAGATCCTCCAACCTTTGCAGCCATCTGTCTCGTCTGCGTTGCCAGTACAGCTCCATAATTGGTTCCTTTGCTAGTTCCTCTTCTGCCTCTACAACCTTTCTTCTCCTCTTCGGCGGGATGCTATCCCCGGACGTCTGAGATGAGAACCAAGTATACCCCGGTGTTGTCGGATGCATCGTAGGATAGGTGTCTGTCAGTCCTTGTTCTGTCATCAGTGCGGCCAGCATTAGCGCATCAGCCTTTGGTGGCGCAAAAGATGGTGAGTCCAAGCCTGGTACCAATGTTACATTGAAATCCCCAGCAAGGAAGAGGTTCTCTGTCTTCGGGATGATCGCTGGTAATTCTTCGAGAAAGGAGCGCCTCTCTGTTCTCTCCGCCGGTGCATACACTGTCATAAAGGTCGAAACTTCAGTTCCAAGACGCAGTTGTACCCATACCCATCACCCCTATATGTCAAGGTCATGCGCCAAAATTTCCGTATCCAACCCTTGATGTATTAAAATTGCACATCCCCCTCTTGTGTCGTCCGCCGGAGCCCAAAATTGGGGTCCCTTCCACCAGCCCCTGACCTGCTGAATCTTGACCTCATTAAGCTTAGTTTCCCGCAAGAGCAGGATTTGCACTTTCTGATCGTGTAGCCAGGTTTTCAGCCTGGGCTTTTTCTGCCGGTCCATCGTGTCTCCCAGTCTCCGTATATTCCAAGTAGCCACTTTAAAGTCTGACATTGCTCGAGTCTTGTGCCGCTTGAGCTTGGATCCGCGCATCTTCCTCAGCGTGCTGTTGTCTTGTCTGTTTGTGTCTTTTAGTGCCCTCAGTCTCCACAGGGTTGATCCACGGTGCCATAAGGAGCGTCCGGAAGCCAGCTGAGTGTGGCTGCTTGTCTACTGCCAAGGTGTTGCAGAACTCGGCCACCAGCTTCGCATTGACATTGTCCGTGAGGTAAGTTTCCTGCAATTCTTCAGTTGCAGTGGACGCCAGCCAACTAGAAGGCCGCCAGACTATCCCCTGTGTGGCACCAATCGGAACGGGAACCGCTCAGCGATGAAACTTGCTGCCACCGCTTTTACTGCTTCCTTAGTCGTGGGAGATTGGCTCACCGGGACCGTTGGAATGGCCAAAAGTCCTTTTTCAGTGCGCCACGCCATAAATTTAGTACCTTGCGGCGATAGCATGAAGCATAGAATAACCAGCTGGTGCCTGATAGCCGCTGGCTGTTGTCTGCTGCTGGATGGTTGAAGCTCAACTGAGGATGGTCCCGATGCTTCTACCTGGACTGTGGTCAGTGGGACAGAAGGTTGAATTGCATAGAAGTCAATTTCCTCCTCCTCTTCCTCCTGTGTCGTGCGGCCGTCCCCTTCCGTATTAATCCTCTGCTGCTTGATCGGAGTTCGGAGGGTTAATCTGGGGTCTCTCATTGCTGTATCTACCGGTGGATGGCCCGAGGCGCCCGTGTGTTGCTGTGGGATTTGTTGGGCCTGTTGGGGCCCAGGATCCTGAGTGAGACCCGCACCAGTGAAAGCTGCAGGTGCTGGAGGAAGGTGGGCGAATGCTGGATTGTCATAAGTGGTATAGCGCGCTGGGGCAGCAGGAGGGAGCGGCCCTGCAGTGGGTTGGTGGGTAATGAGAGCTGCCACCGAGGATTGTGAGTGGTTTCGCTGAACTGCAGCTGCATGCAATGGGGCTGCCAGTTGCAGAGGTGGGGGGTGAGATGGATGAGATAGGGAAGCTAATGGGGGAGATCTGAGGAAAGCCAAACTTTGGTTGTGTACCAGTGGGGTTGCTTGTGATGGGGGTGGGGCGTAGGGCTGGGTCGGTCGGAGTGACAGGGGTCCGGTGGTCTGTCGAGGGATGCTTTGGTGAGTGTGGGGAGGAAGGTTTTGTGGCTGGGGGTTTCGTGCCTGAGGGGGGTAATAGGGAACCAGTGGGCCACCACCCTGCGGTAAAGCTGGTTGATAGCCTGCTGGTATGGGTTGGACTGGTACGTGTGCAGCAGGGGGAGGCGGGGGGGGATAGGGGNGGGGGAGGCGGGGGGGGATAGGGGTGGGAAGGATGCACTGGGGGGGGGGGTAGCTGCTCTCTGATCACGAGGGGGCGCTGCTGTGATGAGGGCCGCACGGGTGCTGGCACCGTCGCAATGAACGCTCCCTGACGTGTTGGCTGTGCGATTCCCCCATTTCCTGTCTGACGTCTTCCTCTACCTCTGCCTCGTGCTCGTCTACCCGGTAGCATTGGCTCTGTGAAGCGCGGACAGTCAGGGTCGAACTCACCATGGTACCACCAGAGACACTTCTGACAGAAAGGAGTGTCCTGATTGGCCAACTGGATTTTTAGTATCTGGCCTGATGGTCTTCTCAGTGCGATCCATTCAATGAAGCTCTGTCGCACTGACGGGTCACAGTCTATCTTCACATTGCCTAATCTGGGCTCGTCCTCGTTCTTGTCAGGGGGGTGCATGCGTATGATCGGGCCCATCAGTTGCTCGATTGCATTTCCCAGGGAAAACATCGCTCCCAGGGGGACACGGAGTTCTATAATCCTGAACTTAGCTGCAGATTCAGCATCCCGAATCTGATCTAGCTCCTGTTGGGTCATCCAGGGTCGGAGAGTGACTCTCACCGGGCCATCTCTTGATGGGATTACATCGTGCCCTTTGCTTATCATCATTTGTGCAATCTGTTTCGTACGAGCCACGTAAGACATCACGTTAGGTCCCTCCCCGTGTGTGCGTCCCCTCTTCTGTGATGGATTGAGCCTGGGATCGTGGAACCATGCGTCCTCATAAATACGCAGGAATTGTTCCCGCTGGGCTACCGAAAAGCTGGTCGCCCTCGAGTCAAAAATAGTGATTACTGTTCGCTCTTTTAACCATGCTACCGTAGCCTCGTCGACCTTAGCACTTAGGTTGAGGTATCCTACCCCATCTACGATTTCGGCAACACCATGGTCAAAGGAGGTGTCGGGGAAAAGGCCATCATCATAGCAACTATCGAGGAGGCTTTGAATACGAGTGAGATTGTCGCCTCCCCCACTGGGTTGGCCTGCCTGAGTTTGGCCAGCCTGATTGGCAGAAGATGAGGGTCGATCCATGGTTCCGAATCCAGAGACACATGGTGGTAGGGTCGTGGGCAGCTGTTAATCTGTCCAACAGGGTCCGTTTGGGGTTCCTGATGAGTGTGTGAGATATCCAAAAATATGAGAAATATGGTGTTCTCACCGCATATGAAACAGATCCCGGGCAGTTTCTTACCAGGTCGGTTGTGATTCGACTTCTCCCCTTAAAAAAAAAAAAAAAAAAAAAAAAAAAAAA